CTACACCAGGACTATAAACAAGAATGGCATTAGGGCAAAGCCGGGTCAAATCGGACCCATAAGACACACTAACTAGGTCTCCCATATCTGTGGGAACCATTTTAATCACATCTCTCAGATTTCTCTTAGTTCCTTTACTCATGGAAACTTGAATACTGTACTCATTGAATGAGAAAAGGCCTGCCTATTTTCTGCAGTGTCTGATACAATTTCTTCTGTCAAACTGGGCAAATGCAGCACTCTGTGGGAACCATATAGTGGGGAAGGAAAAAATGTCAACTTCTGGGACTCAAACTCTCTAGGCCCAGAGGCAGGTCTCTGCCATGTTGTGTGGTTGCCTCCAGTGCTGAGACCGTGAAGCCACTGGACATTCAAGTCATTTAAGTTAGGGCCCTTGATCTGGCCTCTGCACATCAAGCAGTCTTTGATTCCTTGTTGGCTATTTTTTTTTTTTTTTGGCAATTCTGATCTGGGCTACTAATTTGTGGAACTCCCCATCCTTGGGTCTTAGGTCTGTCTGGTTTGGGGTATGGGGGCCCTGGGGTGCATCTCTGCTCCAGTAGCCCTTCAGAGGTTTGCAGCAGCAACGTGTTCTTTAAATCTTTTCTTCCCTGATGAAACAGCCCCAGTCCCTTCAGCCCATCACCGGGGGACCCTCTTCACCTGTATCCCACAGGACCCAAAGTAGACGCCGTCAAAGCTCATCCCCAGTTGACTTGCTCACCTTGTTATATTGTCAGCCTCTGGGGAGCTACAGAAATTGCTCTAGAAAAGACAGTACAAACCAGACTAGTTGGAAGCCCATCAAAAGCTGTTGTCTGGCCTTTTCCCTTAATAGAAAAAAAGAGGAAAAAAGGGACTATTTTATACATTATGATTCTGCCATGTTAATAAACTGCCTGCTTACATGTTACTTGCTGTGTCGTGGACAAGATCCTTTCCTTCCTCTTTACATTTTCATATAAACCAGAATAACATTGGTTCTTTTTCTGGGGTTTGTTTCTAAACTTTACAAAAATACGTCAAGTTTATAGCACAGCCTACTGCGAAGATTAAAGATCTTTGGTATTCTATAATAAGTTATTTGGAAGAAAAAGCACTTACATTTCAGGACAATTATTGAGCCTAAGGGTTTAGGACTAATAGCCACACTGGAAGCTAATTTGAAATGCTGTTAATGGTTACTTTAGTGTGACGTTACTAGTTTCTTCATGTGACCCAATTCGTTTTTTAGATGATGGAAGAAGATTGAGTGAAATTTTGAAAAACAATTTTAAAAAATTAAAAATAAAAGCCAGTTTTGTCACTGAGATGAATTTTACCAGGAGAAGTAAAGCAACTGAGTTCTCTCTCAGCTCTGTGTATGGCTTATGATGTAGCCTTGGGTAAGGCACTTACCTCTCTGCCTCAGTTTCCTTATCTACCAAATAAGAGTGTCATCCTCAGTAATCTGAGGTTCCTTCAAACTCTTAAACTATGAGCAATGGTTCTGGACCTTTTCCTCCCAGATAGACACACACATGTGGGATCATGTTCCACTCTCAGGAGCTGTCTTGTGTGTGTGTGTGTGTGTGTGTGTGTGTGTGTGTTGTAGGTTATGCATAATTCCCAGTTTTCATCCCAATGATTCGCACTTTTACATCAAGAACCACAGCTCTGGAGAACTGTACAACTGTGGGCTGTGTGCCACCTGGAAGATTATTTTAAATTTAAAATGCATCAATTTTTAAAAAAATTAATATACTTATATTCATAAGCTGGGGGGTCCAGTTATATATTCTGATAATTATCTTTTCTCCCAAATCTGCTTATGTAGTTCTACCAAAATGAAAAAACAACCTCCTACAAACCTCCCCCTTAAGAAGTCTCTTGAAAGTAGAGCCCCTTGCTTTCTGGATGTCCTGGTCACTCTAAAAGCTGGACCCCTGCTGTCCTGCAGCTGCCTGCAGTGACAGGGTCTGCCCAGGGCTGATCGTGCAGCAACTTCTTGGAATTGAAAAGGAAAGCTGTTTGGTTTCCTAAAAGAGAGAAATGACTGCTCATATAACAAAGTCTAATTGATCACCTCAAAGCCCCTCTTAATGGCAATGAGACCCAGGTAGATGCCAAGCCAGGCAACCAGGCACCTGAAGGACCCACGCTCCCTTAGAGCAGTTCTCTTCGTCAGTGCGTGGAGAAAGAGCAGCACTCTGCCTGTCAGGAGCAAGGCTGTTAGACCAGTTAGCAGCACTTCACCCACCCAGGTGCTCCCACCTTCTGTAAGCAGCCGCCTCCCAGACACGTGGCACTGATCTGGCACCTGCTGGCATCCACGTGAGTCTCAGGCCCTCATGATGATGGCCTGCTCGCCTGCTCGCCTGTCCGCTGCAGCGCAGTGCACTCAAGTGTCTGCAGCTGGCAGAGCATGTAACAGCCAGAGCCACATAGACATCAGAGCTGCACAGGTGTGCACGGCCCATCTGGCCACCTTCTCCGGGAAGGACTCGGTGTGAAACTGTTAGATAAGCAAGCTTCGACCCCAGATCCGGGGCTTCACGGGCAGACAGACCAGAAGGGCAAGTTAGGTTGACAAGGCTTAATGTCAAAGACCCAGATAGCTGTTACCTGGGTCTCCCCTGTCCCTTGAGATCTGACTAAGCTTGGCTTCAAATTCCAGTCTGTGGAAATCTGAATTCTATGACTTCTGGGGATTTAGAGTCTCTGCCTCAGCTCTTCTATCTCTGGTCTCTTAGCTCAGGTTGCTTATGAAAAAGCATGTGAGCAAGGCAGACCTTACAAAGAATTGGTGCCACTGAGGAGAATCACATTTCCTGTTTCACAGTGGTCTAGTTAACAGACCATATGAGACTTTCCTGTTCTCGTAGCCTTATGCTCAAGGCGTGGTCAGAGGACCAGCAGCATCTGCAGAGCCTGGGTGCCTGTTGGAAATGCAGAAGCTTGCCCCCCACTCCAGGCTTGCTAATCAGAATCTAGATTTTGGCAGGATATAGGGAAATTCGGTTCATTACAGTGTGAGGAGCACAGACCTAGTCATTTTCTGTCACCTCAGCACAGGTGGAGTCTCTGTGCCTAGGCCCTCACTCTGTGAGCACCAGCCTTTTGTCTTCTCTCTTCCCCCTCCCTCCTCTGTCTCTCATTCTCTCATGTCCTCCCTCCCTGTCAGGAGCTACAACCAATTCTTCATGTCATGACAGAGCCTCAGAGCCAGTCACCACGTAGGACCTGATGATCTCTTTCACCAGCCCTCAGCCCTGACCCCAGCCTTAATCAAGTATTTGTCTAAACAAGGTCCCCTTCTGAGAGGGACTCTGACACCAAGCTACTTCAATAAAAGAAATCTCTCCATCTCATTACAAAAGATGTCCCGGATTTTATAGAGATATCTGGTTTCCAAACAGACCGCTAAATCAGTTCAGGATTACAAGCTCTCATGTGAGTGTTAGACCTGGGGGAACTGAGTCTTCAATGGGAAGTGACGCACTCAAGGTCATTTTGTGGTTATTGGCAGAGGCAGGACCAGAGAAGGTCGTATACTTGCCAGGGCAGGCTTCTCTGCACAACACCTCTTATCACTCTGCTTTTAACTGACCCTTAAGTGGCTACCAGATTCTCTTCCTGAGCAGTATCGGAGTCACCTGGGCAGCAAATATAGCAAGCACTGTTCAAAGAGCAGAAGAGGTGATACAGGCCCAGTTTGCCCCAATGACTTGCCTTTGCCCAAGCTGCTCCCTCGGGCTGAAATCCTCATTTATTCCCACCCGTCTGCCTGACCATCTTTGAGAATGAACAGCTGGGACCTTCTTCTGGATTCCTCCAGACAAAATGAAGTACTGCTTCCTCTGTGCAAATGCACTGTGTAGCGTTTCTTCCATCGTATGTTGTCTCTGTTTTCCCAGCTCCTCCCCTCTGTGTAGAAGGCTCCTCGAGGGAGGCTGAGCTCTGCACTCATTACTGCACCATCGGTGCCCTGCACTGGACAGGCTCAGGGAATGCTAGTTTCCTTCCTCCTTTCTTTCCCTTGGAAATCCCTACAAATTACTGGTATCAGTCAAGTCCTGTTCTTAACTCAGGCCCTTTATCTTCAAGCATCTCCCCCCTTTTTGGACCTGGGCTGCCTCAGACCACCTGCCTCACACTGCTGCTCATCTCAGACTGGTCTCCCCTGGCCAGCCCTTCTATTCTCTTGCTATCCAAAGGTTCCAGTTTGGCCACCAGCTACTAGTACATGACTCTTTTTTTGGATGCTATTTTATTTCTTTCATTATGATTATTAAATTTATCGAGGTCACATTTGGTCAATAACATAAGTTTCAGTTGTATTATAATTTGATACCTATATACTCTGTTGCATGCTCACCACCAAAAGTTTAGTTTCCTTCCGTTACCATATATTGACCCCCTTTATCAGAGAAGAAAACAGATATTTAAAAGTGAACATATGTAAAAGCCACTAAGCTTCTGGACATTGGTCCTGGAGGTGATTCTGTGAATTTGACTCCAGAGACTTTTTGAGAATCATCCTACTGTCTAGACCTCGTCTGAAAAACAGTAGGTTTGACTCATTAGCTAGAGCTTGTTAGGAGGGTTGCAACTCACAAGTGGGTTATAATCAGTTATGAGATGCTTTGAAATTTTTTCATATAATGATTAAGGTCTGCCAGTGGTCATTTTAATAGAGAAAATTAAAGGTTATCCTATGACTGTCATTCCACTGTGTTCTGATGTGCTTCCTGGAACAGGAGAAAAGGCTTAGGACACACACCTAGGGATTGCTCCCCGGTTGTCTGTCCTGTGTGTCTCAACAGGCTAACCTAGAAGGTTCTTTCCGCTCCATCATCTTATGAGCAATAAATCTTGGAGAAAAGACTGCTCTCAAAAATGTGAATTTCCAGGTCCCTCCTGTGATATGGCAGGTCCTCTTAGAATTTAAACCTCACTCAGGAACGCTTAAGTGGGTAACACTCTTCATTTTTCTCTCTTCCTCCTTGGCTTTACTTCAGGAAGCGAGAGGAAGAAAACAAGCGAAGAGAGGCCGAGCAGCAGAAGGGAAGGCTGAGTCCAGATTCCTGCAGGCCCCATGGCCCTCCCTGTCTGCCCAGCACCCAGGCTGAGCCCCGCAGGCAGAGTGGGGACCCCCACCAGCCTCCCACCAGCAACGTGGCCCAGAGCCCCGAGCAGAGAACCTGTGGAGGGTCTCCAGGCAGAGCCCCCCAGAAGGAGCAGCATCTTTCCTCAGACTTACAGGGAACAGAGCCCAGAAAGCCAGACGGTAGGTGTATTGCCTTTGTTGTCCGGTGCCAACCTGTGGACTGTGGGCCCTTTTATTGGTGTATTTGGACCATTCACATTTAAGGTAATTATGTCAGCTATTTTATTGTTTATTTTCTATTTATTTCCTCTGGTTCTCATTCCTGTTTCTTTCTCCCTTCTTGAGGTTACTCAGACACCCTTTAGGATTCCATCTTGATTGATTTATAGTGCCTTTTAGTAGATCTCTATAGTTCCTGTAGTGGTTGCTCTGAGTATCACAATATACATAAGTGATTTACATAGTCTACTGGTATCAACATCCCACCACTGAGTGAAATGTGGGAACCACTTCCATTTAGGAACTTTTACCTTCCCCACCTTTAAATATCTTTGCTTGGTATCAGTTTTATAATTTTTGTTTCAATCATCAGATATAATTTATAAAACTCATGAGGAAAAGGAGAGTCTGTTCTATGTATCCATATTTTATTCTGTTTTGTCTTTCTTCCTGGTGCTCCAAATTCCTTTTCATTTCCTTTCTGTTTGAAGAACTTTTCTTTAGCCAATTTAAAGGTAGATCTGCTAGCAACAGAGCCTTTGTCTGAGAATGTTTTCATTTCATTTCTGAAGAACTGCGAAAGCAGATACAGACTTCATGGTTGGCACTTCCTTTAGCGCTTGACAATGACTGTGCCTCTTCCTTCTGCCTTCCCTGGTTTCAGATGAGAAACTCTGCCATTCAGATTGGTGTTACTCAGGAATGTTCTGGTAACACACCGTTTCTCTCTGGCTGCTTTTGAGATTTTCCCTTTATCTTAGTTTTTAGGACTTTCCTGTGCTGTGTCTCGGCACGGATTGTTGGAGCTGTCCTGTTTGTGCTTGTGCTGGGCTCAGTAATTTGCTAGGAGGACTCAAAGATTTGGCACATAGTTGTGCTCATGGCTGTGACTTAGCATAACCAGAGGATACAAAGCAAAATCAGCTAAGGGAAAAGGTGTGATGCTCTGTGTTATGTTCATTCCTTTATTCATTCAGCCACCATTTACTGAACTCCCATGATGTGGCCACCATACTGAATTTCCTCAAGTTCTTTCTTAGCTTGGGGCCTTTGCATGTAACATATAAAGGTTGTGTCCTATGTCTAAAAGCTGTACCTTTTCAGATTCATATTTAACTTTACATTAAAATTATTTTTTAGTAAATTTCAATTTGAACTGAAATTCTGTTCTCTATCCATGTGGATAAAAAGTGCCAAGTATTCTGCGACTGAATGACACAGTTCACTGTTCTCCAGACTTCAATAGCAATTTCTCTGCTCCTCCAGTCTTCACTAAGTCCCTTCATTGCCTTTTCAGCTTCTGCTCACTAGCCAGTCCCAAAGTCAGTGCCATGGGTTTCAGGTTTCTCTTAGACCAGCATCTCTCATTTTAGGCATCCGTTTCTGTGTTGGTTATCTCTTGTGACATTATAAACCACACTTACCACTCTGATTTTCAGTTTTCTCTTGTTTTTGGCTCCTGGAGATTACCTTTATTTTCTTGAAGGCACTATGGTGCTTTTAAAAGGATGTTTACTCTTATTTTAATCAGCATTTCTAGGTACTTGTAGTGGGAAGGCTTTCGGGTTATCAGCCTACCCTTGCTAAAAATAGAAGTTTTTTTCTAAACACAATCACCACTATCATTGTAATGCTATGGGACAGGTCTGAATATTTTATGTACATAAATGGGCTGACTTGCCCTACTATTCAAGTTTTGAACCATAAATATTCTTTCCCCTTTTCTTTCTTTCCCCAAGAAACATCCAGAGAACCTTCTAAAGGCCGATCTGCCTGTGTCCACTTCAGCCCTGCTGAAGGCAGTGATGGAAACAGGTGTCCAGGAGTCCCCTCTGCTGAGAAGCCCAGAGGTGAGACGGTTGGCGAGCAGCGGTGTGACAAGGGGAAAGGCTTCTCGAAGCAGCCCTCCTATGTCAGGGTGGCTGGGCCTGAGGAGAAAGGAGAGGACCCCGGCTGGGCAGCTGCAAGCCTCCCCCAGCAGGACGGCCACCGGAAGCCCAGCAGGCGGCATGACACAGCCCCCAAGGCCAAGGGTGTCTCCCAGAAAAGGCGCGTTCAGGAGCTCAGAGGAGGAAGGTGCTCCCCAGCTGGGTCTAGCCGGCCTGGCAGTGCCAAAGGGGAGGCAGGCCATGCCGGGCAGAATCCGCTCCACCATCGGACACCGAGAAACAAGGTGACACAGGACAAGCTCGAAGGAGAGAACTACTCAGATCTGCCACAGAGGACAGAGGTGTTGAGGCCAGGAGTCAGGAAGCTGGGGACATCGACCCTGGCTGAGAATGGTCAGACACCCAAGGGGACTGACCCAGCTCCTGGGCCTCTCTCTGGGCAGAGCGTGAATATCGACCTTCTCCCTGTAGAGCTGCGGCTGCAGATAATCCAGAGAGAGAGAAGCAGGAAAGAGCTATTTCGCAAAAAGAACCAGGCGGCCGCAGTCATCCAGCGGGCCTGGAGGAGGTGAGGACACGGGCAACCACGGCACCTCCGGTCGTGTGGTTGTCCCCATGCCCCCAGCATGACACCCGTGCTCTCCGGTGTTTTCTAGTGCACTCCGTGTGCTGGCGGGACAAGGCCAATTTAATTGAGCCTTCCTGTGAAATTCACACGTGTAGATCCTAGTAATTTACTGGGTAAGTTATTCTGAAGGTGTTTTTGCCAAGAAAGATAGGAAGCACCCAAGATTGCTTGGTGTAAAGAAAAGAGCCCTCAGGTGAAGCTCTAACAGGTTCTCTGACCTTGGGCAGATCACTTGGCCTCCCTGACCCTCAGTTTGCTCATCTGGAACATGGGATTTAACAATGGCTGCACCTGTCCTGTATATATAACAGGCTGTGGAATGAGGTAATGTGCTTCATAAATTCTAGAGCCCTGCACACATAGGTATTTCATTTTTCTTCTTTTTATGTCTTTACTATCAGGAATTGTCATACCCCGAAATACCTAAACCAGGGCCTGGCTATAGTGGATTGAGTGACTGAAGTTTATTACAAAAACCTGTGCAAGCATTGCTCAAGCTCAGAATGGGGAGTGGGTGCTGGGAGCAGGGGTGGGAGCTTCCTGAAATGCTGGGCCAGATACCTCCAGAGGGTCCTTTGCTGCAGGTTTTTACATATCCCGTGCTCTCCACACTGAGGCCCCACTCGGGCCTAAAGCCAGATCGGGGCTTCCAGTGCTGGCCGGTGCCCAGGGGAGGGCTGGAGCCGTCTCAACAGGTGGGAGTCATGTGGCCTCCATCTCCAGAGAGGAAGGTTGATGGGGAAACAAAGCAAGCAAATCGCTGCGAGCACAGGTGTGCCACATATCAACACGCCTGTCAGGAGATAAAAGGGCCAGTGAGCGCCTATGGCTGGCAGAGGGGGGAGGGAGTGAGAGGGGATGGTTCTCCTGAGGTGCAGGCAGGGAGAGGCCTCAATGTCTATTGTGCCAGACAGCCTAACTCAGAGCCCTGCTTGCACAGCCTTTGCTAGTGTGGCCTTAACCTCTGTTCAAGCTCTTGGCCGTTTACCAGGTCAGCTCATACCTTTGCTCTCCTGGCCACACCAGGAAGCCGTCATGATACGGATGAGCATTTGGTCTCAGAGAGGAAAATGACTTGTTCCAGGGGTGCAGATCCAGCACCTGAAGCTGTGTCTGACTCAAGTCCAAGGGCCTTTCCCTTATTTCTCAGTAAAGGTCGTGTGTGCTGTGGTCAAGATAATACAGGTTGCCCTGGCCGGTGTTGCTTAGTGGTTAGAGCATCAGCCCATGCACCAAAGGGTCTCAGGTTCGATTTCCCGTCAAGGGCACATACCTGGGTTGCAGGTTCACTCCCTGCCCTGGTGGGGCACGTGCGGGAGGCAACCAGTTGATGTGTCCTCACATCTCTCTCTGTCTCCCCTTTCCCCCTCTCTTCCACTCTTTCTGAAAAGCAAAGGAAAAAAATATCCTCAGGAGAGGATTAACAAAAAATAAATAAATTTTTTAAAAATGTATATACATGGAGGCGGGGCAGGGAGGAGAAGAGGGCTGCCTGGCCGGTGCACACACTTGCCAAGGTGATGTCATTACAAGGGGATGTTATTTCTGTTGTTAATTCTGGTGGTTAGCATTTATTGGGCACTGATGCCAGATGCTGTGCTAAGGAGTTTTACACGTAGTATCAACTCACTTAATCCTCACAGTAACGCTGAGAGGCAGATACACTCCTCTGCCCCTTCCACAGATGACACAGCACAGCAAGGTTACCAACTCGCCAAGTTTCAGGGCTCTAAGTGCCTGCACCAGCTCTGCCTGGACAGCCGGCCTCTGAAGCCGCAGGGGGGAGTGGGCCTTGCTCCCCTCCGTGGGGAGTTCTGCCAGGGCCTGCACTGGCCGCTGTCCCAGAGGAACGCTTTATTAGGTATTTCAGCTGAAGCCTGGGACCTAAACAAGCCAAGTTTTACCACGTCAGGCCCACAGCTGCTCCCCCGCTGATACGACTCCCGTCAGAGGGGCCTCTGACTCCTTTGAAGAGTCGGGAGCTGACGGGTACTGTCAGTAAGTGTCCATAGCAGCAAATGAGCTTTCAGTCATTGCCCCAGGAACAGTGGGCTCATAGTCTGTGCCCACCTGGGGAGGTAGTCACCCAGCCCCCTCTGCTGAGACCTGGGGCATCAGCTCCCACAGGGCTCCTGGGAACCTGCACGTTGGAAGTTGTGTGTCTGGTGACAGTAAAAATACTTTTACTGATTCTGTTACAGCGTATACTTCTTCCATATTAAGGACAGGAGCCCAAAGTGCTGTCCTGGGACAGTATGTGTGGTGACACCTGACCTAAGGAGCACGGTGGCTGTGCTAGGAACAGGGCTGGCACAGAAGGGCTGTCCATGTGGGCGGCTGTTACAGGAGATGTGTGGAGGAGAGCGAAAGGCAGGGGTGCCAGGATGGGGTGCACAGGTTGAACCTCGGGGCCCGGAGAAAATGAAGCTTAGTCTAAGAAATGTGTTTTATTGCCAGTCAAGCCTTGACTGTTTCAAAGATTGAAACCAAATACTGGACAAGCTAAACCGGGCTGGAAAGTTGCTGTGTAACACTTCCTTTTCATCTCAGTGTGTGTAAGCCACCTTCCTGTCAGCTCTCCTGTGTGCGGAGCTCTTGTCCAGCAGGAATAAGTGGACCATGAGAGCCCCGAGTCCAGGCTGAAAGGACGAGTGGGCATGTTAGGTTTCTTAACCACCGGGAGTCAAGTTCCCCTTGGGAATGGGGGACCACTGGGGCCATCAGACTCTCAGCCTCCACCCCAGAGGAGATCAGGTGGAAGCCGTGCCCACTGACAGCGGAGCTGCTGCAGCGTCAGCCAACACCGGGCTTCCCAGCCAGTCCTCTGCCCGGAGAGCAGAGGGCGTGGGAGACGCTTGGCATCTCGGGGAGAAGGAGCTGAACTAGGGAGTGGTACTGCCCGTCGCTCTAGTTTTCTATACTTGGCTTTTTGGAAGTGTGGTGCATCTAGTAGAGGGATGGCACGGTTTCGCTCCAGGTAAAGAAAAGAAGTCTTGTGGTTCGACTGAAATCAGCCTTTCAGGGCAGGAGGGAGGGGCCGCACCAGGTGCCGCAAGGAGCTTTTAGCAGACTTGGGAAGGTTATTTCCAGTTGGTGTGCCGTAAAGTCGGGCATGGGGCCCGCTGCCCTCGCAGCCCCCCGGGGGCTCCCCAGGAGTAGTCGGTCAGCTGCAGAGAAGGAAGACTGATGCAGCTTCCCTGCAAGCTCCAAGGCAGCTGTGCTCAATATGAAGTTTGGGAGTGCACGTGGGATGAACACCGTCAAATAACACTAGACAAATAGAGCCATCCCCTGCGTGCCCCTGGCCTCTCCCACCCCAGGCTCCACCCTCCAGCAGAATGATCTTAGTAAAGAGTAAAATACAGCTCTTACCTGTGCCACAATTCTTAAGAACCAGTCCCCACCAAGAGCAGAGTACAGACCAAAGCCTTAGCCGTATTTGGCTGGCAGACCAGACAGCACTGAGTTTGAATGTTGGCCTCTGCTGACTAGCCGTGGGCCTTCCACGAGTTACTCAGCCCCTCCACCTCGCCCCAGTTTTATTGAGACAACTGACATACAGCACTGTGTAAGTTAAGGTGCACAGCATAATGATTCAGCTCACACATATTGTGAAATGATCACCACAATGTTAGTTACATCCATCATCTCACAGACTCTTTTAAATGGAAGGTTTTATTTCCCTGTGATGAGAACTCTTAGCATTTGCCCTCTTAACAACTTTCATATGTACCATACAGCAGCGTTAATTACAGCTTCCATGTTATACATTACGTCCCCAGGACGTATTTATCTTATAACTGGAAGTCTGTACATCTTGACCACCTCCACCCAGTCTCCCCTCCCTCCACCCCTGCCTCTGATAGCCACAAACCTGATCTCTTTCTCTGAGTCTCATATTTTGGTGTGTTGTGTGTTTTGTTTTGTTTTTTAACATTTCACATGTAAATGAGATAATACAGTATTTGTCTTTCTCTGTCAGCGTTCTTTCACTTAGCATAATACCCTTAAGTTTCATCCATGTTGTTGCAGGGTTTCCTTCTATTTTATAGCTGAATAATATTCCGTGGTCTATATCACAACTTCTGTCTCCATTCGTGTGTCGGTGGACACTGGTTATTTCCACCACCTGGCTATTGTAATGCTGCTGTGAGCTCGAGGGTGTAGATATCTCTTCAACATACTGTTTTAATTTCTTCAGTTATATACCCAGGTGTGGTAATGCTGGATCATATGGTAGTTCTACTCACACCTCGTTTCTAGGTCTCCCATCTCAAACAATTCGGTTCTCAGAAAAAATGTCTGTTGTTGAGCCAAACTTTGGCTTTTGACCTAACAACCCTTTCATGCTGATACCTCATCATGACAAAAAGCATCTCTCAGACAGCAAAGGAGAGAATGCTTTTGTTGCTGGTAAAATCAACAATTAGCACAATTTTAAAACATAAAGAGGCCACCAAGAGTGCTAACGTTGCTAAGGGTGTGAAAGAAACAGTTTTCACAGGCAATTGAAGAAGTAGGAAAACTGTTGTTGATTTGGATAAACAAAAGCACTTAGCCAGTGACAGCATTTCAGACAGGGATTTATGAACAAGTTAAGATGCTGCATGCTGACCTGCAAGACAGCCCTGGAACAAGTGCTGAAAGTGATTCGTTTAAGGCTAGTAGGGAGTAGTTTCATAAATTTAGGAAAATAAGTTTATTTGTAGATTAAACAGTACATTAATTTTTGTGAGTGGTGTAAGATAGGGATGTAGTTTCATTCTTTTACATGTGAGTATCCAACTTTCCCAGCACCATTGGTTGAAGAAACTCTTTTTCCATTGAGTATTCTTGACTCCCTTGTCAAATATTAGTTGACCGTACATGAATGGATTTGTTTCTGGGATCTCAATTCTGTTCCATTGGTCTATGTGTTTTTATACCAGTACCATACTGTTTTGATTACGACAACTTTAAATATTGCTTGAAATTGGGAAGTGACGCCTCCCACTTTGCTGTTCTTTCTCAGGATTATTTTGGCTATCCAGGGTCTTTTGTGGTTCATACAAATTTTAGAATTGTTTGTTCTACTTCTGTAAAATTTTTTTTTTTTTTTAAATGCCATTGGAATCTTGATAGGTACTGCATTGAATCTATGGCTTTGGGTAGTGTGACATTTTAACAGTATTAATTCTTCCAATCTATGAACACAGGATAGACACTTTTCCATTAATTTGTGTGTTCTTCAATTTCCTTCATCAATGTCTTAGAGATTTTTCACCTTGGTTACATTTACTCTTAAGCATTCTATTGTTTTTTATACTATTGTGAATGGGATCCTTTTTTTCAGATGTGTTATTAGTGTATAGAAACACTACTGATTTTTGTATGTTAGTTTTGTCTCCTGCAAATTTACTGAATTTGTTGATTAGATCTAACAGTTCTTTGGTGGCATCTTAGGATTTTCTATATATAAAAAATCCTGTTGCCTGCAAAGAGAGTTTTATACCTCTCTTTCCAATTTTGATGCCTTTTCCTATAACCAGAGAATTCTACATTACCTTATGTTTTTATGATGTTAATTAGCATCCTTTTACTTCCACTTAAAAGACCTCCCTTTAACATTCTTGTAAGGCAGGTCTCGTGGTGATGAACTCTTTGAGCTCTTGTTTGTTTAGGGAAGTCTTTACCTCTCAATTTCTGAAGGACAGCTTTGCCAGGTATAGAGTTTTTGGTTGGCAGATGTGTGTTTTTCAATACTTCAAACATACCATCTCATTCTGATTTCTGAAAAGTTTCTGTTGAGAAATCTGCCATTAGTCTTATGTCAGTTCCCTTGTATGTAACTTCTCTCTTTTCTTTTGCTGCTTTCAAAATTATTTGACTTTTGACAATTCAATCATAATGTCTTATTCAGGTCCAACCTATTTGAGGTTCTTTGGGCCTCATGAATCTGGACGTCCATTTGTCTTCCCAGGTTTGGGAAGTTTGCAGTCATTATTGCTTTAAATATACTTTCTTTCTTCTTCTGGAATTCCCATATGTAGATATTATTTCTTTTAAATGTGTCACGTAAGTCCTGCAGGCTTCCTTTTACTCGTTTTTTATTTCTCTAACTGGGTAATTTGAAATGTCCTGTCCACTAGGTCACTGCGTGGTCAAGTCTGCTTTTGAATTCAGTTTCAATTCAATTCTCTCTTGAATTCTTCAGTCGTATTTTGTTTGGTGCTTTTTTTTGGTGGTTTCTATTTCTTTGTTGAACTTCTTCCCATTTTGTTCATGCATTGTCTTCCTAATTTTGTTGTCTATGTGTTCTTGCAGTTCACTAAACTTCTTTAAGATATTATTCTGTATTTTTTGTCTGACAGTTCATAGAGCTCTATTTCTTTAAGGTCAGGTATCAGAGATACTTGTTTCTTTTGGTGATGTCATGTTTACCTGATTTTTCATGATTCTTGTTTACTTAAGTTGCTATCTGCACATTTGAGTAAGCAGTTTCCTTTCACAGATTTGCTTTGATAGAGACAGTTCACCAATCAGCTCAGTTGGGTTTCTGGATGTGTCTGCTCATTAAGCTCCTGGGCAGTTGAGGCTTCTGTCTCTTTTTGGACGGGGCCACTGCCAAAGTTCTGGGAGAGGGGTGCAGTTGCTAAGAACAGTTGGATAGGACTACTGGCTTGGTTTCCTGCCCAAGCAAGGCTGTAGGATGAGCTCTGTGGTTGCATGGGTTGTCTGATCAGGCTTAATAGTCAGTTGGGACTGGGTACTATACTTAGCAATAGGCAGGGCTGTGAATTAGCTTTCCCGCCCTGGCAGGGAAGCAGGACAGGCCCCCCAGCTCAGTGACTGGGTACTCTAATCAGGCAAGACTGCACGGAATTCTCCAGCCAAACAGCCACTGATTTTACTCTGCAGACAGAGAAAGCCATGGGCTGTGCTTTTTGTTCAAGTACCACTGTAAGAAGGACTGTTGGGTGGGCTATGCAGGTTCCTCTGTGCTCTGATTAGGTTTCCTGGTAGGACAGGCTGTATTCAGCAATGGCTGGGGCTATAAATTACTTTCCCTGCCCAGGCAATGGGAGTACTGATCTCTAGGGGCAGCAAGGCTCTTTGCTTATGATCTTGATTCAAGCTGACCCCAAGTTACCTGCCTGAATGGTGCTATTGGCCTTGTTCTGCAGATGATCAGCTGTCTGTCATACTCTCTGCCTGAGTGTCACTGGGTTACGCAGCTTCCAGGTGGTCTGGCCAGCATCTCTGGTTAGGGAGGGGCCAGGAGCTGTAATCAGCAGTGAGTTGAGCTATAACTGCCTGAGTGAGGTCAGACTAGGCTCCAGGGTCAAGATTCTTCGTTTAAGGACCTAAATCAGGTAGACTTGCATGGTACTGAGTTCCCTGGTCAGCCTGTGTCACCATCTTGGCTCTGCATATGAGCAAACCACTGGTTGGGACTACTGCTTGGATGCTGTGGGTGGGAACTCAGTCTGCAAAGATCCATGTGCTGGTTGTTGCAAGTTCCTCCCCTCTTCTGTGTCACAGTCAGATTCCCTTGTACTCCTCACAGGGCGAGAAGCAACCCACAATGTTGGGGCGCTGGATGTCCGCTCTGGGTTCTCTTTTCCTAATGGAGGAGCTGTAGGCTCAATGTAGACCTCAGTGTGGTGTTACGCTGGCCCGAGGGAGGGGCAATGCTGTCATCATGTAGCACTCCTCTTACCCTTTTTATATGGTCTGTCTTGGTCTCTGGTACAGGGGGGACAAGCCTCTAGATCCTAGAAATCCCATATTCTAGGATCTTCTCAGTGGTGTCTTGTCCATGAACAGTTATTAGTTGTTCTTTTGATGAGGGAGAGTGAAGTTGGGAATGACCTATGTCACCATCTGGGTGATGTCACCTCAACTCAGCCTTTATCAGACTCATAACATCTGCCTCACAGATTTAGTTTCAGGCCTCTTACTGACTTGCCTGCGCAAATGCCCATACCTCTCTGCGCATGCCCATCCTGCTGCCTAGAACGCCCTTTTCTGATTGGCTAAGTTTCTACTCATCCTTTAAAACCCAGCACGAAGATCAGCCCTATAGTCTTAACAAACCACTACAAACGATCAGTTCCACATCTGTCTATGCTATCGAGCTCCTCGCTCTCTGTACTTTTAATACTGTATTTGTTTACACATCGGCCTGTCCTGTCTGAGGGCAAAGACTCATCTTACTGATCCCTTATTCAGGAACCGTTCGATGGAAAAAGCCAGAATCCAACATACTGCTACTGAAATTAGAATGGGAGCTTGAAGGAATCTCCCCAGTTCAACAAATACTCTTCCTATAGCTTCTAGGAACCTTAAGGAAATTTAGTTTTCTCAGTACTGTGATTTAAAGCCTCTCCCTTCTCTGATCTCACCAGCTACCAGCTCAGGAAGCATCTGTCCTACCTTCTGCGTATGAAGCAGCGTGGAGCCAGAGATATGGACAGGTGGCACAGAGAGTGCATGGCATTGCTCCTCCGGGTCTGGAGGAAGGAACTGGTACTAAACCCCCCAAAGACCACTGCAGTAAGCAGGACCGCCAAGAATCCATCCAAGAGCAGCTCGGGCACAAAGTCCACCAGGCACTCAGTGCTCAAGCAAATCTACGGTAACTGTCTTTCTAGGCACTCTGTAGTTTACAAGCACCCCCAGGGTTACATCAGAATCTGAAATGGGATTTCATTGCATTGGGCAAACCTCCTTTCAGGTAGGAACTTTAATATACTTCAGTCACCAACAGAATCTCAGCACCATGTTTAGTGCCTCCCTTCCAGAAATTCCAGATCATAATTGGTTTGAGATGAGGCATTCTGGCATCTCGACCCAGAGAGCCTTCTAGCCAAGAGATTTTCTGCTGGGCTTCATAACTGAAAGGCTTACCACTGCAGCCTCTCCAGGCCACTACTTGGGTCTTCCCCTGACTTGACCAATTTGGAGGACTCGAAGCACAGGCCATCACTGGAACTGTAGGTCACTTTGCTGAGATGGTACAGGGTTGCCTATCTGTGGGAATGACCCAAACCCAAGCATTACAGGAAGTACTTGTTTAGCAGATGAACTCCTGCAAATTAAAACAAACTGAGCAGAGAACAGGTTCCCCAACAGAAAAAAAATTGAACCAAAGCACCTTTAACAGATCTGTGGCCCAGGCAGCAAAATTCCAGAACTCACCCCTTGGCCTATATGGTATTTCCACACCACATCCAATTAGGCCGACACTTGCAAGCTCAAGCCTTCACTCAAGGAATTCAGAACTTGGTCAGGCCACTGCTGTCATTGGTGAGATAGATGACCATTGTTGGTTGATTTCAGGTTGTTCTCAAGAAGGGAAAGTGCATCATCCCACAAGATCTTCAAAAGCCCATTCTGTGCTGCATCTCAACTCAGGTAAGGCAGCCACTGGCAAAGTATGTTGGGAAGACAGTGTGGGGAAACACATTTCCTTTTTTATTTCATCTTCAAAGACAGAGAACTAACTCCCAGGGGTTTCCAATGGCCACTTGATTTCAGGTAGACAGGTGTTTTCATGCCCCTTTCATGGAATTATTACTGCAGTCAACATCTGTCTCCATAAGAGGCAAGTTATTTTTATGCCCAAAGCTTTGTTAAAATCACCTCCAGTGGAACAATAAATGGTAGCTGCTATTGCTCACCTCAGCTTATTCACATAAAGGGGAAGTGGAAGTACTGTTTTTCTTCAAAGTCATACCTTGGGAGTTCTTGTTCCATTTTGGTTCTACATTAAGCCCACCTCCTTCCTAAAGATGGGAAGAGATCCTCAACCACAAATCCTGGCTTTCGCCTTTTAGGGCCTCACAAGGAAGACACTAATATTTAATAGCATATCCAGCGCAGGCTCAACTGTGCACACTTTTGCTTATACAGGAGCAGCTCAGGGAACTTTCTTTTCAGCTGCAAAACAAGGGTGTTTTACTCAGGGCCCCTTCATTCACACCAGCATTAAGTTTGGGTGATAAGTTCAGTGCTGTCAGCAGTTAATGCCAGGTCCGGTGTTCCTCGTGGGTGACTATGACAACACGCTGCCCCCGTCCTCCCCGATCCCGTCATCCTGCAGGACAGAGTGCAGCTGGGAAGGTGAACAATGACTGTCAGCATGAACTTTAACATTCATTTAGTTTTCAATGGGGAGGGGGGGGACTTAAGAAGTAGGGGGAGAGTAATTACTGCCAAATCTTAAGAGTCAGGCAACTCATGTAACATAGGCAGGCTGATCAGGGAATGGTGGGTGGGGTAGTTGGGAACTTTCAAAGGAATTAAGGCCCATAGTTCTATGTGAAAAAAAATAATCATTATACTTGAATGAAGGACAGATTCCAAAACAGAACTGTCAGATTTAACTACCAGACAAGCAGCATTTAGATGAACATCATAAATTAGAGCATTTTTTTTACTTTGTTTCAAGAGAAAAATCCAGTACTATGAGAAATCTTTAAAAATGAAGGTGGTTTAGCAGTATAAAAGGTTTTTAAAGGACAACTCAAAGAAATGCACAGTGGTTTCCTAAGACCTCATGTGAACAGTTTGTTTTCCCTACACACGTCATTCTGGCAGGCTTAAAAACAGACAAGGCTTAGAGAATCTTTCCCTAAGCCTAAACCTGGGGCGACACCAGCTTTTCTTAGGCTCACTCACCCCCACTAACCGTCAGCCAGCGAATAAGGCAGATGGTCGCAGAGATGCTAGCTACAGTTTAGCTGAAGCTTGTGTTTCATACAGAAAACATGTCTAAGTAATTTCCACAATATGGGTATGACTTGAACATACATGTAAGTTTCTGCAATGTGAAATCACAGATGTCAGACTGAACAAAAAAAAGAAATCTAACTTTGGTCTTCAAACGTTGACTAGAAATGTTAATTCATTTTTTGCTTTGAGAATTCAGTAGAGTTAAGGATCTTCTGATTTTGCTCACTGTTGTTTAGCAGACGGAAATGGTTTGGCACACTGTAGTATTCAGATATTTGAGTGAAAACTGTTGCTCCCAACCTCCAACATGGGGAGAGGCTTTGGAGGTGCCCTTACCTCTTATAAAGGAGCAGAAAGTGAGCTGGAAAGAGCAAAAGGAACAGCATCCATGGGCTGTTTCTCTACACGTATTCAGGAGACAGCAATCCCCGTTCTCTACTCTTCCACCCACCCCCTGCAAGTTACCCACAAATAGCAGCATAGTAATGATGAGAGTGTGTGTTTGTGTATATACATACATGAACAGGCTCTCCTGTATTTTGTGGTCCAGCTCTTTAAAAATAAAAGAACTTCCTTAAAAAAATCCATTCCAATGAATAGAATAACCATGGCTTAAGTGATTACTAGTAACAGTGCCCCGTTGTATGAAGAATATTCCTGCCCACCTAGAGCAGGGCATGCAGATGAAACCTCAAGACTTGAAAGAGTAAAGCAGCCGAAAAACATGCCCGAGTTCCAAACAGCAGCTCACTTTCAAATAATTTTATTGAAGTAACAGTAATCAAAACGGGAGAGAAAAAGACATGTTTTTAACTTTTTAAAAAGTACTCACCTTTCATGTTTGCTTCTTTGCTCCTCAGAAAGTTAGGAGCGCATAGCATTATGGCCTCAGCAAGGTCTTAACCGTTTGGGGCCTCAATATCCTCACTTGTTAAATGAGAGGGTTGAGTACACCACCTATTTTTCCAACTGTGGCTTCCTATACTTTTATAATTTCAAAGTCATATAAAGGCCTAGAAGATCCATTTGAAGTTTGATATGCCTATCAGTCTATCACCTGAAGTTTTCAAAACAAATTTTCTAGAATGGACTATAGCCAAGTATGTGGCACATGCAGTTAGAAGATATGTATGTGTATATGTAAGTTTATATTGTTATATTGGGGAGTTATTCCAGGCTGACTGAAGGTTCGCACCCACTCCTTCACTCAAGATTCTTAAGAGATGTCATGTATCTTTGAGACGATGGAAAATGCAAGGCTGATAAATGCAAGGCTGATAAATCATCCTGTCTCCACGATACACTGGCCATCACCTTTTTCAGCACCATGTATAATCCAAAACTAAACCCTTTTTTCCTTACCTCCAGTCAACTCTTACCTTCAGCATTAAAATTAGTAACTTGAATATCTACCTGGTATTTGTTTTTAACAGTGAGCAACTTGCAGTGTATACACCTTCTTGAGAACAGTGGAAGATCAAAGAATTTTTCTTATAACCTGCAATCAGCCACTCAATCAAAATACAAAACAAAGCCTTGACTGCCTATGAAGGAAGACTGTGTCCGGAATAGCTAGTACATAGCTAATTCTCTGCTGATTTTCTTTTACATCTTGGGAGAACTTGAATATCTGTGCCTGAAGCCTTGTTAGCCTGAAAATGTGACAACTGAAAGAAAACGTCGGAATTTCTTCCTGCTCTTAGCCAGCACTGTTTGGATATTATTGTAACCTGTGCTAGGAAGGCCAGGGTAGACTATGCCTATGCAAAACTGCCTAGCTGTCTGCCTCCACCTAGAAAGGAGAATGTATAACTCAGTCAAGTCCAAGTAAAACTAAGAACACGGGGGCTGCTGGTTGGGATTCCTGCCAGCCAGTTGGTGCAGGCCTGCTTTTTTGGCGTCAGTGAAGAACCTAAATGAGATGGGGAGGAGCCTGTCCTACAGTAGCCACCTTCATTTCACTATTTTCCTGGAATCTCATCCAACAAATTTCATTACAGACACCACATCCTATTATTCCAACATTATCAGTTTTAAGTTTTAGACCAGGATCATGATCTAGTGTTTGCTTTTGGAAATTATCTGTAAGACCACAGTAGGTGCTCTGTTCACTGCTGTTGGCCCTTACACTTTACAGTTCGTGTTAGCCGCTGAAAGCCACAGGCTGCTACGCCCTCCTATGAACGGAGGTACTGGTATCACACGACACCAAGGAAATCAGCCAGACCATTGATGCACAAGATATAGACTCAGGCCTTAACATTCCACTTGCATTTTCTGATCAACCTGCAGAGGCGAGCAATCATATCAAAATGCCATTCCTGTGCCATTCTGCTAACTACACAGAGCTAAGAATACCTGGTTTAAATGAAATCTAGTGATGGAGGGCTTTTTCACTTTTTTAAGGGCAAAGCTAATATAGGAATGTAGACAGGCATAAACAGGGACATGGTAGGCTCACATGTACTTCTAGGACTGCTTCCATTTTCTTAAGGTTACTGTTGCCCTTGTCCTGACAGTAAGAGATAGGAAGCAATAAAATGTTAATTCCCTTGATTTTTTAAAAGTTTGCTAATTAAATTATTTCATGATTAGAAAAATGAATATATCATAGAAATCACGATATACAGCTGGTAATTTCTGAAGAACTATAATAAGTTAGAAAATCATTAGTAGAAAATCACTTTGAAAGTAATTGTCGTAATCAGACCAACCACCATTTAGGTATAGGAAAATCTAAAACAACTGTAGCACTGTCTTAAAATCTTGCTCCTGCACTGAGGGCTTCAGAACCTCTGTAAATAACAACTCCCTAGTGAGAAGCTCATGTCATCATGGATAAGATAACCACCCCCAAACGAAACAAAAACTGGTTCCTGTTGCTACTGAATAAACTGGAACTGAGAACATAAAAAATGAGGTTTGGCTATTTGGGATCACAAAGATTTAGCTGATTTCTTGGTAAATACTAGACGGTACCATGTTATCACTCTGAATTTTGTAAATATTTAGTTCCTATGAAATGTAAAATATGCTGCCACGTATCACATGCTAGTCCAGGAAGCCAGCCTGTATTGTTTTCCTACCTTAGTGCAAAAGAAGGTTCATAAACAACTTCTTTAAAAGTTCAGCTTTAATGACAAACATTTATTACATCAGTCTCTCTTCAAAATTAGATGTGAATAAACAATTTTAAACAGGAAGTGCCATGGTGCCTCTTTCATATACTGTATTCACCACGCTGGGCCCCTGAGGATGCCCAGTGACATACACGTTAAAGCAGTAATGTAAGTCTGTGAGCCACTGCTCTTGAACACCTCCACTCTTCAAAGTCTGCAGAGAAAAACAAGAGTAATTTGAGAATTCTACTAAGACTGCTATGCTACCTGAAGTGTTTTTCACATCCAAACATCTCAGAGCCACTGCAAAAGTATCCTCATCTGTAAATCACCACAGGAAATCTTATTGGAAAAGGACCTCTTAATTAGGCATTACTAGGCAGTGAAAATTCTAGTTACAAATGACACACCGGTTTCTCGTTTGGTTCCCACCCACATATGCTAGGAACTAATGAAATTTCACTACCCACCATCCCTACACTCCAGACTTCCTCCCTTTGGCATTCTAGAGTCTCTCGATCTGTGTACAGGGCTGATGACAATTTCTGTCATTCCCTTCCTTATGGAGGTGGGTTGATTGTCCAACCTCAGAATGACCCAAATTTTTGACTGTCCTCCCACTATTTCTGAATTACTATTACATATAGCAATTAATGACCCCCCAATCAAATATCTATACCAAAAAAAAAACCCTCCCTAATTCTTCCAAACTAAAAACACCAAAGGAATCTGATAAGAAAACTCCACCCACCTTCACCCCCCAAAACACACAACTGAACAAAGAACCAACCATTAGACAAAGTTGAAGCCTGCAACTTCCTTTCCCTGACTTCTTAGTCTTCAGAGAACTAGAAATTGGCCTGGTTTATTTCTGCTAAATAATTTCCTAATGACAGTTAACATTTGTTGAGCAATTAAATGTCAGCTACACTAAAAACTTTACTTGGCTGATTTTTATTAATGGTCCCCCAAAACCAACAAAGTTACTATTAGTCCCATTTCTACACCTAGGAAAACAAGCTTGGATTAAGTTAAAAAAAAAAACTTGCGGAACTATCTCAGTTAATCAACAGTCTTTATTAGAATCCAGGTAGCAGTGACTCTGAGGCTTGTACCTTTTCCAACTAAGCTGCCTACCACCTTAATTCAGTTTGAGTAGTTTAAAGTTTTCGAAGCTGATTCTGGGGTCAAAGAAATCCCACAGATTAAGTGACAGTCAGGGACTAGACTACAGAAGAAACCCAGGAAATCACCACACTGGGCTTAATTCCAGGAGTTGGTCAATGAACAGGAATCCTATGCACCCCCAGCCCTTCCCATGAATCCTTGTTCCACGCTTCTTACCGTGATATTCTTGATGATCTGCTGCACCAAGATGGCATTCGTCAACATGTGAGTCCTGAGGGGTGCGTGCTGAAGCAGCAGACGAAGCAGCTGGCCCACAACAGGCAGCTCCTCAGGAGCAGCTCTGTTCACACGCAGGCTCTGCAGCATCAACCTGAGGACTCGAGGCAGGAGAGCCAAGACGGAGACACAGACCCCCCACAGCTTGTCCCTACAATAAAAGCAACAAAAATGAGTTGGTGAGCCAACATGTATGAGAAAAGTACTGTTTCTACAGTTCCCAAAACTGAAAATGTCCTTTAAGAAACATGGTGGTGTCTCCTTGCACCATACAATAAACTCAAAATGGATTAAAGACTTAAATGTAAGATTCAGAACCATGAAACTCCTACAAGAAAACATAGGCAGTAATTTCTGACTTTTCTCTCAGCAATATTTTCTTCTGATATGTATCCCCGGGCAGGGGAAACAAGAAAGAGGAGGAGGAATCCATCAAACTAAAAGCTTCTGCACTGCAAAGAAAACTATCCACAAAATGGAAAGACAACCCACTGAATGGGAGAAGAGCCCCACCTGCTCCCAAAATAAGGGAGAATTCCTGCACCAGGAAAACGGAGCCAAATGTCACTGACAGGAACTTTACCACCAAGAACAAGCAAGAATGTCAAAGAGCCAAGGAAAAAGCCAGGTTAGATCAAAGACGACAAAACAATAGCTGATGAAATAAAAACTCAATAGGAGGGTTAAATAAAATTAGCGAAGTAGATGTTCAGAGATAGAGGACAGAATGGGAAGCTCCCTATGTGTAAAAGGACTTTTTAGAAGATAACAGGGGAGGTAACAGTCAGAAAAAGTAACAGTATCTCCAAGACCTGAAGGAAAAAAAACACCAAGTCTTCAGATGAAAGGAGCACGCTAAGTCTCAAACCTATGCCAGATAAGTCCGGATCTGCAACACAACAAAGATAAAGGGAAACCAGTGAAAGTGGAGAAAAGATCACTAGCTACAAACCAAGAGGGCTCAGTCACACAGATTTTTCATGACTAACAAGCCTGGTGGACAACAGAGTAGTTTCTTCGCAGTCCAGTAGCCACTGTTTTGAAGAACTCAGGTTGGAAAAGCATGATGATTTTTTGGCCAGCACTTGTGAAAACAAAGGCTCCCAGTAATTTGACTGGCACTTATTCTTTGTAATCTCACAAACACCTTCTCTAAGGGGTAGGTGTAGCCTGAAAGGAAATTTAAGTACAGGCATACCCCACTTTTTAAAAGTTCACATTACTCCACTTTGCTGTTACAAAAGACCTGTATTAATGCCTGTTTTTGCTAACCAAAAGACATCCAAAGAGTTTCACTTTTACAAGGTGAAATCGAAATAGTGTTCAGTATCTGTTTTGCAGCAATGCACACCTGAGCAGCAAAAGTTGGGCGACCAAGCTCCTCGGGCAGCTACACTCAGCATCAAGCCGCCATAGCTTTGAGCTGTGTTTGTGAGCATGTGTGCTTTATCTCCATTTATTTTGTGCATCCATTAGAAGATGTGTCCTAAGGTATCAGAAAAGCCTAGGAGAGCTCTTAAGGTGTCATGCTTAGTGTATAAGTGGATGAAATTAAGCATTTTGATAGTGGTTGTGTGTGTTGAATTTATGTCTGGGAACACTCAAAAATTTTTCCATATAAATGAATTGTAATTTCTTAGCTTTGTGCATTTTGGTTTATAAGTTTTCATAGGAACACTACTTTTGCATAGGAGAGGAAACCTGCATCTAAGACTCTGGCTGCCAATAAGTCCTTGTGACTAAGTAATGTCAACCCAAGAGACGCACAGGGTCCTGGTAATATCAACCTTTTCAATACCCAGTATAAAACACTTTTAAAGCAAGGATTTTAAACAGGCAAAAAGTATTACATACACTGAATTTTGTTCAGTCTAGCCACATAAAGTCAAAACATGATGTACCTCTGAAGAAACTACAAAAGATATTTGAAACTTATTAAAGTGTTCAAGAAAACGGCTATATTTCAAGTGACAAGAAATGACAAACAGCAATATACACATTTCATAAGTGGGGGTGATTATAAAATTTTTAGAACTCAGAAGTTCCTTGTTATTTAGAAAGCCTTCTATTGATGTATCAAACATAAAGTTTGATGATACGTAAGAAAAATACCATCAAATCTGTATGTGTAAGGTGTACAGTGCACAGTGTATTTACAGTGAAATTCACAAAGTTTTAAATACACACAGTCAGCTGAAAAAATCCAAATGCTGTTGACAGTAAAATGGGTACGTTATGGTACATTTGTATAACAGAATACTACAGAGCATGGGTACTGGGCCACAGCCCATCCAGTTCACTGCCTATATTTGTAAATAAAGTTTTACTGAAATACAGCCACACCTATTCATTTATGTATTACTTGCTTGCTTTCACACTACAAGAGTAGAGTTGAGAAGTTCTGATGAGATTTCATACCTCAGAAAACCTAAAATATTTACTGAGTCTTTACAGAAAGAAATTTGCTAACCCCTGGTATAAAGAAACAAAAATGAATGAAATAAACTTCTGCATCAACATGAATGACTCAATGATGAAAATCAAATCACAAAATCCTTTTATATAAAATTCTTAAAAATACGCAAGAGCAAAACAATGTTATTGTTTACAAATAAATGCACATAAAAATTTTAAATAAAAAGGAAGAAGGTGATAAACCCAAAAGTGATCTCTGGGGTTGCAGAAGAGAAATGTAACTGTGGAGAATACATGGAACAATGTTCTATTTCTGAACTGGAAGGTTGGTTAAATGAATGTTCAGTTTAAGCTTACTCTTTAAACTATATAAATGTTTTATACAATCATGTATATTTTTATGACATCTAAAAGTTCAAAAAAGACTAGAAAGGCAGACATCAAAAATTTTTCTTTTCTTCTATTTATTCATCTGTTAGATATTTTAAAAACCTCCTGCAATGAATTTTAATGGGTATACCATTAAGAACATAAGCATGAGAACAGCTTTTTAAAATTAAAATGAAATATTCCAAACTATCCTAGAATCTTTAGTCCAAATTTCAGATAGGAACAAAAGTATTGATTAATTGTAACAGTAGCATCTTAAAACAATTTCCTTAAATCTAAGAACTTAAAATTCCACTCTGGCTAGTTCTAATGAAGCCCAAAGCAAAATACAAAGGCTTGTACTAATAAACTCATCCTTCTAAAGGTAGAATTTCTTTTGTTACTAGACTTATAGCAATGTTAATAAGGAAAGCTCTCAAAAAACTTTACAATGCTATCTAACTTTTCAAGTTTGTTATTTAAAGGAAAAAATAAATATGAAAAATTCTCACACCACAAAGGGTATTCATGAAAGAACAACAAAAAAGCTCTGGTGATGGAAGGAGACTTGACTTGGGGTGGTGAACACACAACACAATATACAGATGA